GTGTTTGGTTGCCCGCTTCATGGCCTCAATGGTGTCTGTGCCAATTCGTTGGACGTCGTTCAACGCCGCGGTTCATGCGACGCAAACGGGACGAGATGGAAAGAAAAGTAGGCAATTGGGTTGTGCGATGGAGACGGGTTGGTGTGCCCTCGCGACCGTCGACATGAGACCAGACCGGGTGGGTCCCCGGGACTGGCTTGCAGCTTTCATCTTCTGCATGTCTCTCTTTCTCTTTACTCCATTTTCCATTCTTTTTCTTTTTTTCCTTTATTTTCTTTTCTTTTCTTTATAACCGCTTTTCACTTTATTTCCCTTTTCGTTTTGTTTTGTTTTGTTTGTAAAAGGTCTCGGGGCTGGCGTTTGCCGAAATCTCGTCTCCTTCGCGTTCCATCCGATGAGCCGGCGTTCGATTGGGCTCAATTGTATTGCATTAGGTTCCATTCAATTGCATTGAATTGCGTAAAATCACTTTTCATTGCACTGTAGAGTCGTTTCGTCGTGCCGAAGAGGCTCTCCTCCGAGCCTCTTCGCGTTCAGCATCTCCTCTTCCCGGCGCGACTGGTCGGTGTTGCTTCTTCACAGACTCGCCAACAATGCTGTCCCCTTCAGTCTTTTCTTGTCGCCGGCATTCTGTTGCACCAACTGTCCGCGGTTTCTGCTGGTCTGTTGTCGGACTTGTTCACTCGCCGACACGCCACCTCGGTCGCTTCCTGTCTGTCTATCTTGGCCCATTCGCCTGCTCTCTTTTCATCCTCTCTCGCTCCCTCGCTCTCGAATTCTCCTTTTCTCGCTCACTTTCTCGCTTTCTCCTTTTCTCGCTCTCTCGCTTTATCGCTTTCTTGCTCCCATTTTCTCGCTCTCTCGTTCTCTCGTTTTATCGCTCTCTCGTTTTCTCGTTTTATCGCTTCCTCGCTCTTTCGCTCTCTCGTTTTATCGCCTTCTCGCTCTCTCGTATTCTCGTTTTATCGCTCTTTCGCTTTCTCGCTTTCTCCATTACATCACAGTTGCCCCTTTCCTCCGCACAGTTACGCAAGGGGACTGGGACTTGTTGGACACACTTTCGTCCCGCACGAGTGTGTGTATGTGTCCCCCCCCCGATGAAGCGACTCGACAGTCGTTCTGTCCAATGCGATCTTCCCGTTGACGCAGCCCACAAGACGTCCTCTCTCTCTGGGCCGACGACAAAAGGGTCGAATGACGCACACCGGCAGAGGTGAAGCGCACTCTTGTCAAAAGTGGCACGTCGACGACACTTGGTCGATCCGACTACGTCGCCGGCGGAACGTTTGGCAATGTACCAACTCGGCTGGCTGGCAGGCACGGTCGCTGTGGCGGAGGACACAGGAGCAGGTACCTGCCACGTACGATGCTTTCCCGACGCGACCGGCGAGCAGGTGACATTCTGCTCTTCGCTTTGCAATCTGTTCACTCTTGTCGACGGCTTCGTCGTCTTTCGCCAACTAGCTCGAATAGACATCGTGTAAGTGACTTGCGAGTAGTCTCGACAGGCTTTTTACTCACGAAAAATGTCAAAGTGTTGGTCTAATTACGATCTATGCCAGTCCCAAGTCGTCTTCCACTCAAGTTGTCATAATTCCCAGCCACAGACAGCGCACTCGGTATGCTCTCAGACGTCTCAGACAAGTGCTGCCATTCTCCGCACCAAGCTACACACTCGTCACGTCCGAGGTCGGCAGTTATGAAAACTACTGATAAGCAATATGAGTAGTGCAATTATTGCAATAGCAGAATTCGAAGATATGAAGAGCAAGACGGCGCGGCAGCCGGTATGGCCGGCAGAGCGTCGGTGGAATGATTGGCTTCACTCGGCTCCGACGTGTTCGTGAATTGACGCGGAGAATGGCAACATTCGCGAAGCGTTTGAGAATGTACCAAGTCCACATTTCGATGTCGACAATTATGAAAACTACTGATGAGCAATATGAGTAGTGCAATTATTGTAATAGCAGAATTCGAAGATATGAAGTCGAGCAAGACCGGGACTCGAATCCTCGCACAGTCAGTTGACTAGGCCTCGTGTTCCCGTTCGACTTGACGCACAAGCTTGCCGCGCCGAGGCTATTCGCATGGCAACAGCGTGCGTGGTGAGACTCGAGCCCGGTGCAGACTGCAACCCAGACCGATCCGGTCGGGAGGAGAATGCATTTTGGGAGGCAAGATGATGTGAAATGCAACGGAAACAACGACTACTCGTCGGGTTGCATGACAATTCAGCTACCGTTCGTCTTTCATCACTTTAAAGCAAATGGGCTGGGTACGGCTCTTATCGAGGGGGTGGTGGTCCTGACTGGGGGTATCGTTGCTGAGCTTACTTCCATTTCGAGTGAAAGTGTTGCCTGAACAGATCCGCAGGTCGGTTCCACCACAAGACGACGACGGATTCCTCTTGACCGGCTTTGCTGGAACATCCAAGCCGACGCTGTTTCCGGGGCAATCTCGTTCGATTCCGCTTTCGTGCGTCATGTCACGGACATCGTGACAACGTACCAACACGAGTCAAGAAAACTCACCGGCAAATCCCTAAAAAGTGGTAGATACACTCTACATTCGGCCCCTTTGATCAAGTATAAAGTGATTTGGTTAGTTACGGTCATATCTCAACTGTATGTATGTGTATGTGCCTGTTTGTGTTCGCTGATGCACAAAACCCGAAGTGATGGCTCATAGTAATTAGGACAGCAAAAAGGAGCGTCTGTTTTTGGCCATCGAGGTTTAATGACACCCATCTCCCCCTTTATACACACAAGTTGTAACCATCACTCCGAGTGCGCAAGGACACACACTTCTGGTTTTGTTGATGTGCATTTTTTTGTTTTGTTTTGTTCTGTTTTGTTTTTGATCTCACCCGACCATTTCACTCGAAATAGAAGTAGGCTCAACAATTATGCATCAAGACAGTCCTCGAAACGTGTGTGTTTCTGGATCACATTTCTGCGCTTGGATTGACGACGAAGCAAAGTTCCTTTTTCTGGACAGATCGACCGCACTACTCATTTTCATTTATAAGTAGGTCTTCAAAGCTGCCAGTTTATCTATTACAAGAGCTGCATTCACCATATTTCCTCGAAGGTGATCCGGTACCGACTGGTACATCAATTTTCACACAACCTCATGAATAGGTTGCATGTTTCCACTCAATGCCACGTCGCA